ACCGTTCCGAAAGATGATCGCTCGTCCCAAAATCAGCCGAAACGAGTGGAAAACGGCCGAGAAAGGAGCCTTTGAAGTTGGGAATTTCGCTCTCTTTTGCTGCCCTGTGAACGGCTTGGCCTCGCTGCTCGCGAGCGCGACGCCGAAGGAGAGCTCGCAGCCGTCGCGGTGCCGCCGGAGCCGCCGCTGCGCGTCGCCGTCGTACTTGACCACGAAGAGGTCGCGGAGCTCGAGCGTCGCGCCGCCGTCGCCGCCGAGGTAAAAGTCGCGGAGGTAGGGCAGCGCGCCGGCCGCGACGGCCTCGAGCGCGCGCCGCGTGGCGTTGTCCATGGACGACACGGCGATGTCCGTCGTCGGGTAGTTCGCGTGCCGGTCCGTGAGCCAGCCGCCGCGGCGCGCCGCGTGGTCCTCGCTCCGCGCGACGGCCCAGGCGGCGTCGGCCGCGGGCACTAGCGCGGCGACGCGGTGCACGTCGACGTAGTAGTTGTCCGGCGACGCGACCATGATGGGCAGCGGCGACAGGAACGCGAGGAGGCACGCGGTCACGGTCAGCAGCGCGGCGTCGAGGAGCGCGTCGTCGTCGTCCCAGCCCTTGACGCGCCGCCAGGCGCGGACGACGCGCAGGCCGCCGTAGGGCCAGGCGACGGCGGCGACGAGCGCGGTGCAGGCCCACTCGAAGCGCATGGTGTGCGATGCGTTTCCCAGCGTTGGCAACGCCGATCAGCCGGGTTTCGGACGCAGCGGCGTCACCATCGTGCTTTTGAGAGGCTGCCCCTTTGGCCTCAAGATCTCCTCAAGAATTCAAAAAAAAAAACTCCAGTCGAGTGGTGGTCTGGGGCTGCGCTTCGACGCGCACGTTCCCACGCCATGGCGGCGCAGGGCAACGTCACGTTCCTCGCCGTGGCTCGCACGAGCGACCGCGTGATCCTCGCGAGCTGCGAGCACGGGGCATCCATCGCGCGTCGCCCGGCGCCGTGGTTTCCCGCGACGCGCCGATGACCCGTGCCCGCGTCGTAGGACCTGAGCGGCGTCAAGTACCTGCTCCACCCGGACCAGATGCAGCAGGTCGACGTCGGCCCCCACTACAACTTCCAGAGCGGCAGCCAGGCCTGGCACCTCACGGCCGACGCCGCGGGTCTGATCTTCATAGGCATCACCGCGCAGACGTACCCCGTGCGCCACGCGAACGCGAGGCCGCCCGCGCGAGAACAAAGCAAAAACCGACGGAAAACCAGACGACGTAGGCGCTCCTCGAGGAGCTCAAGCGCACCTTCAGCGCCAAGTGCGGCGAGAAGGTCGCGGCGTCGCGCGAGTCGGAGCTCACGGCCGCGTGCAAGTCGCTCTTCAAGAAGCTCTGCGCCAAGTACGACGACCTCGCGCGATCGACCAGCTCAACAAGACCATGGCCAAGGTCGAGGGCGTCAAGATGATCATGCAGGAGAACATCGAGATCGCGCTCCAGAACTGCGTGTCGCTCGAGCACATCGACAAGCAGGCCGAGGACCTCCAGGCCCAGGCGGGCATGTTCAAGACGCGGGCCAAGGTGCTGCGGTCCAAGGTCTGGTGGAAACTCTGCAAGATGCGCCTCCTCATCGCCTTCATCATCGTCGGCGTACGCGCGGCCCGCGTCCTCCGCAGCGGCCTTCCGCGCGCACGCGCGCGCCGCCCGCAGGCGCTCATCGCCGTCATCGTGCCCCTCGCGCTCAAGTACGGCGGCTCCGACGACGACGACGACAAGAAGTGACGGGAGGCGCGCCCCGGGGGGGGGAGGCGTCGCGTAAGGGTGGCGTGCATGGGGGCAACATCATCGGCGGTCGCCGAAGCGGCTGTGGATGAGTTGTGGATGCTCCTCGATCGTGCTCGACGCCGACGGCCACAGCCTATCGCGTCGACGCCGACCGGCCGCAGCCATGAGCGCGGCCCACCATCTCTCGGGTCTCCTCTGCGGGCTGTCCGTGCTCCCGCTGGACCCGCCGAGCCCCGTGTCGGCGGCCCTCGTCGTGGGCGTCGTCGTCGTCTTGGCATGCACGATCCTCTTCGACCCCCTGGGCCGGGACTGCCTCTTCCGCAAGCTGGCGCTCTACGGCCGCGGCGGCGCGCAGATGGTCGTGGGCAAGGACAAGAAGTGGAAGAAGAAGGGGCGGCCGGACCCGGCGCGCGTCGACGGCTCCAAGGACAAGCGGAGCAAGCGCGTCGTGTTCATTCGACACGGCGAATCCGAGTGGAATTTGGTCTTCAACGTGGGATCGAAGATTTGGGTGCCCTTCAAGGCCGTCGCCGCGTTGGTGCGCGAGACGCTGCTCTTCCTCCGTCTGGACGACGGCTCCGTGCTCTACGACAGCCCGCTCAACGAGTCGGGCCTCAAGCAGGCGCGAGACCTCGACGACGTCTTCGCGGCCTTCCCGCCGGACAAGGCCGGCGCCGGGGACGTCGCGGCCATGGCGGACCGCGACGCGTCCGTGCTCGCGACGTCGAACCTGCGGCGCGCGGCGCAGACCGTCGCGCTGGGCCTGCGGACGCGCCTCGAGGCGCACGGCGACGAGAAGGTCCACTGCCTCTCGGCGCTCCAGGAGATCTCGACGAACATCGACACGCTGTCCATCACGCCGCCCCACAAGCCCCCGGTGCTGCCGAACGTGCCGTCGCACCTCGCGGCCGCGGACCGCTTCGACGTCTCGGGCAACAGCGGCAACAAGTTGCTGCGGGGCAACGGGTTGCAGCGCATGCAGGCCTTCGCGGAGTGGGCCTTCAAGCGGCCCGAGGAGACCATCGTCGTCGGGGGGCACAGCCTCTTCTTCCGCTCCTTCTTCCGCGAGTTCCTGCCCAGCGGCGCGAACCCGGCCGACGCGCGCGACTCGAAGATCGCGAACGGCGGCGTCGTCGCGTTCACGCTGGACCGCGGCACGGTGGGCGGCGAGAACGGCGAGCCGTCCCAGATCCAGTACCGCGTCGACCCGGGCTCCGTCGTCGAGGTCCACCTCGGCTTCGACACGCCCGCGAAGAAGAAGGCCGCCAAGGCCGCGAAGAAGGCCGCGAAGAAGACGAACTGAGGAAGCGTAATATGGATGTCACATGCGCAGCAACGTGGGGCTGCCGCATGCACATGAGATCAAAGTGGATTTAAACAGGAGAGCTAGGCGCAGGTCACGGACTGGGCCGCCATGTCGCCCCACTCGTTGGTCACGGTGACGACGAGCGTGCCCTTGGCCTTGCCCGCGCCGAGGTCGACGGCGACGGGCGTCTGCCGCCAGTGGACCTTGAAGTCGAAGTCGCCCGTCGCGTAGGGCTTGTCCGTGCCCGCCGCCGCCGACACGGCGTAGGTGGCCGGGGCGACGTTGTTCTGCTTGAAGTTGTTGACGGCGTCGAAGCGGACGACGCCGCTCGCCTTGTCGCAGGTCGCGTTCGACACGATGGGCGCCGCGTAGAAGCGCTCGATGCTGTAGGACGTCCAGCCGACGCCGTCGACGCCGCGGTCGCAGGTGCCCGACGCGTCGTCGCACTTGACGCCGACGACGTCCATCTGCCACGCGAGGTCGCCGCTCGACCTGTGTGCAAATCAAATCTTCAACCATAATTCAATGTTCGCGTAATTGAACGGTTTGGACCAGACTCTTCGGCCGTGCTTCGAGAACTCGACGAGAGCACTCGATTCGTCCAAAAATCAGCCGAATCGACGTCGATTTGATCGAGCTAGAGAGGTTTGAAGTTTTTGCTGGACAGGGCGTTTCAGTGGTTGATTTGCACACAGCGCTCGACCGCACGACCTCGATGGCCCGGACGTCGTACTGGTCGTCCGTCGAGAAGGTCTTGGGCCAGGACACGCCGAGCTGGTTGCCGCTGGGGAGGCGGTCGTTGTCGCCGAAGTGGGGCGTGTACGAGTCGAGGACCTTTTCGAACGTCACGGTCGCCGTGCCCTCCGCCTCGTCGAGGCGGAGGCAGAGCAGGCGCGACGCGTTGAGCGTCGACGACGCCGACGCCTCCTGGTTGTCGAAGAGGCAGAACTCGTCGTCCCCGAAGTACTCCGCGTTGTGCTGGCCGACCCAGAGCGACGTGCCCTTCTTCCATTTGCGGCCGGCGGCGTCGAAGATCTCGAAGTCGCCGTACTCGCCGCCGATGGTGTAGACGACGTCGCCCGTGGCGACGTGGACGCGCACGATGCCGTCGGTCTGGCGCGACGAGACGAAGGCGTACTTGTCCTCCTCGACGAGCTGGACGTGGTTCGGGTCCGCGATGTCGGTCATCTGGAACTCGGCGAGCTCGGAGCCGTCGGCCGCGGAGAATTTTTTCGTGACCGTGCGGCCGTCGGCCTGCCAGAGGGCCGCGCCCTTGTAGGCCATCTGGATGTCGTGGGAGTCGTTGGACTCGCCGTCGCAGAGCTCGATCCAGGCGCCGCTGTCGACGTCGAAGAGCGCGCGCGGCCCCGTGAGGGCGCTCTCCTTGCCGAAGGCCACGAGCAGATGCGTCGAGTTGTAGTTCTTCAGGCCGATGCCCTTGTAGATCTCCCCCTCGTTGGCGTGGGAGAGGCCCTTGTTCCTCAACACCTCGCCGTACAAGGGCGCGACCTGGAGCAGGCTGCCCTCCATGTCCTGGACGATGAGGTAGGAGGCCGTGTTCTCGGAGCCGTCGTAGTAGGCCACGGCGTAGGCGACGTAGCCGGCGCTCGCCGCCTCGCCGAGCTCGCCGCGCATCAGCTTCTCCGTCTTGGACATGGTCACCTCCCGCGGGACGTACTTGAAGAGCGTCGGGTGGTCGCCGTAGTCCTTCGTCGACAGGCCCTTCATCTTCAGGAAGGCGCGCACGTCCTCGATGGCGAGGAAGTCGTCGTAGGTCACCGTGCCGTTGCCGCCGGCCTCGGCGTCGACGCTCGACGGCGACATGTCGTGGTCGTTGAGCCGCTGGACGGCGGCGAGCAGCGCGTCGGGCAGCGTGGCCGCCGGGTGCGCGAGGCGCACGCCCACGAGCAGGGCGCCGACCGTCGCGAGAATCGCGAGGGCCGCCTTGGGCAGCGCCGACGGCGCCATCGTCCGGGCCATCGTCGTAGTCGAATATAACTTGTATCGTCAATGACACTTCAGCATTAGCCTGAGGATGCCGCAAGCAATCTCGCACTTATGGAGAGCGCTTGCTTCGAGAGATAGCACAAGTAGATGACCCAGTTCTCCACGCTCGAGGCCGAGCTCGCCGCCTGCAGCGACGCGTCGCAGGTGCGCCGGCTCGAGGCGCGCGTCGGCACCTTCGTCGAGCGCGCGGCGCGGCGCGGCGATGCGGCCGTCTACGGCGAAAGCATGATTGCGAAAGTGCGCGGACTGAAGGCGCGCTTCGATGCGCTGCTGATCGAGCTGCCCGCGCCGCCCGAGCCGCGACCGTCATCGTCGCCGCCGGCGCCGGAGCGGAGAGCGGCGTCGCCGCTGGCAGCGTCGGCACTGAGAGCGGCGCCGCCGGCACCGCCGAAGGCGCCAGCGCCGGCGAAGCCAACGCCGCCGCCAGCACCAGCGAAACCGCCGAAACCAGCACCGGCGACACTGCCGCCGACCTGCGCCGTCGCGAAGCTCGTCTACGCCGCGGCTCAGTGCGCGCCGCTGCGACGCGCGACGGACGACGAGCTCGGCGCGCTGCTCGGCCTCGGCTCCCGGCCGCCGCAGGGCGAGCGGGCGCTCTGGGTCGACCTCGCCGAGCCGCCCGTCCACGTCGACCTCGACGCGCTGCCGGCGGTATCGGGGCTCGCGGGACGGCGGCGCGCGACGGAGCTCGTCGTCCGCGACGGCCCGTCGCTCCGCGGCGCGGCCGCCGTCGCCGTCGCCTTCGACGACGGCGAAGGCGTCGTCGCCGTCGTGCCGGCCTTGGGCTACGAGAGCCGCCGCGCGCTGGAGGCGCTCGTCGCGGCCGCGGCGGGCGCGCGGGACGCGCATGCCTACGCTTCGCCCGCGGCGCTCGACACGGGCGCGGAAAACGCGCCGGAAGACGACGCGTACTGGTCGACCTACGGCGGCGGCGCCGCGGCCAAGGTCTACCGCGATCACATCGACGCGTTGATTCTAAACGCGATCGAGGACCTGCCGCCGCCGGCGACGATCGGCGAGCTCTGCGGCGGCGAGGGGTCCCTCGCCCTTCGAGCGCTCGAGCGCTTTCCGGCGGCGGACTACGTGCTCTACGAGCGCAACGCGGTGCTCGCGGCGGCGGCGCGGGCCAAGGGCCTCGGTGTGCGCTGCGGCGACGTCCAAGAGCACGCATCGCTGGCGCCCGCGGACCTCTGGATCGCGTCCGGGTCCGTGCTCTGCGCGCACGTCGGCGCGCGCGACGCCTGCGGCGCGACGCTCGCGAAGCTCAGCGCCGCGCTCGCGGACGGCGGCCACGTCGTCGTCACGGGCTTCACGACGACGTGGCTCACGCCGAGGCTCCTCCGCGACGCCGGGCTGCGGGCGGTCCGCGGCTCCGTGCCCGTGCCCGCCTCCGCACCGTCCCTCGAGACGGCCTTCGGCCGCTTCCACCTCTGGGTCCTGCGCGCCGCGGCCGGGCCGCTCCCCCGGCTCCACGGCGCGCTCTGCGTCGAGTCTCCTACTTAGCGTAGAACTGCTCGAGCTGGGCCATCTGGGCGCGGTACTTGCCGACGGCGCGCTCGTACTTCTTCTTCTGGAGCTCGCGGCGCACGAAGGACAGCGAGTAAAACGCGGGGACGTAGCTCAGGTCGAGCCCGCCGAACTGGAGCGGCAGCAGGCCCCGCCAGAAGGCGAAGTAGGGCTCGGCGACGACGGTCGCGGTCGTCACGAGCGGTCGGAGCGGGCCGTAGATGAGGGGCTGCAGGGGCGGCACCATGGCCAGTAGCGGCGCGAAGATGGCGATGTCGAGGACGTAGGTGAAGTACTTGAGCGCCAGGATGCCGTTGTCGAGCGCGAAGTCGATGGCCTGGTCCCGCGTGAACGGCTCGGCGATGAGCGCCGCGACGGGGCGCCGCAGGACGGGGCCCTCGAGCCGCCGGTGCGGCGCGAGCATGGGCGCGCCCACGGGCACGAGGTTGCACTGGGCCGTCGCCGCGAGTATGGCGGCGAGGAGGTACCGCATCTTTTCGGAGGAGCTGGTGATGTGTGCGTGCGATTCGAGCTGCGCGGCGCGTGGACTGGGCCCCTCCGAATCGCGCGCTGACGGCGGCGGGACGAGGCGGCGGCAAAGTTAGTTCAACAAAGACGGCAAGGAGCCGCCGCTGGCGTCGTTGCAAACCTTTCGTATCCGCGCCGATGTGCAATGGGTACGCAAGTCGTCGTAAGTATTCGCGGCAGGATCCCATTTGGGCTGCCCCTCGCCGCTCCCGCGAGGAGCGAGGCTGCCCCGGCACGTGGGCACCGCGCGCACCACCGTGGCGACCGACGGCGGCGACGCGCCGGCGATGTGCGCCGAGCGCATGAGCTTCGACTACGGCCGGAGCAGCTTCGACCGAGGCTGCGCCATGGCCTACGACGACCGCTCCAGCCGGTCGTCGGAGGGGTCCATGAAGCGGAATCTGAGCCGCCTCGACTCCTGGGTGGCCAAGGCGCCGGCGCCGACCTGCCGACGGCGGCGCACGGAGACGAAGAGCGCCGAGGACCGGCCCGCGGCGCCGCCGCCGCTCGGCCCGGTCCGGAGCGCCGTTCCCGGAGCGCCGTTCCCGGAGCGCGATCTGCCGGCGGCGGACGAGAGCGGCTGGGGCCACTACGCCTTCAGCACGCCGAGCTTCACCGACGACCACGAGCCCGCGACGCCGTCGGACGTCGCGCCGCCGGCCTTCGGCCGCCGCGCGGACGCGTGAGCCCGCGCGCGCGCCCCGCGGCCCCGGCGGGGCGCCCCTACATAACTCGAACCTTGTATGCTTTAAAGAGCGCCTCAGTTCGCGCGCTTGAGGACCGTCGACTGGCCGAAGCACTTGAGGTGGACCGTCGCCGGCGGCTGGAGCCAGGGCTCGCCGTCGATCTGCATGAAGACGCGCTCCCGCGTCGTGATCCGCAGCTCCTTGGCGCGGATGAGGCGCTTCGCGCGGCCCCCGAGGCCGTTCGTCGCGACGAGCGTCGCGCCCATGGAGAAGACGTCGTCGGCGACCACGACCTCGAGCACGCCGTCGTCGCACGCCGGCGCCGCGGCCGCGTTCGCGACGTCCTGGGCCGACGCGCAGCAGAGCGCCGTGTCGCGGCAGACCGATTTGGGCCCCCAGAGGTCGCGCCCCCCCGCGTAGGACTGCAGATTCAGCACGATGAGGCCCCGGCAGCCCCCGGGCACGGGCACCTCGCGCCAGCCGTTCTCGCCGTCGACGCGCGCGAGCAGTTTGGACACCTCGGCGAGCTTCGGCGGCGGGCCCTTGCAGCCGCACAAACCGCCCGTCGCGCAGGCGCCGAGCCACGCGTAGAGCGCCTGGTTCTTCAGCGGGCTCGAGAACCGCGACGGGTTGGCGCGGCGCGCGCTGTGGAACGCGTGCGCGCCCGCCGCGTCGACGCCTAAAGAGAAGTAGTTGGAGAAGGTGCCGTCGTAGGACCGCCAGGAGCCGCCGAGCTTGAGCACGGACTCCGACGGCTTGACGTGCGCCTGCATCAGCGCCTTCGTCGCGTCGCCGCGGTCCTCGAACGAGTGGCGCTCCGCGACGGCGCCCTCGAAGGCGTCCGATTCCAGGCGCGCGCCGCCCGCGTCGGGCTTGCGCATCTCCGCGTCGTGCTGCACCAGGTTCGCGACGGACGTCTCCGTGAGCCGCACGCTGTGGTGCCGGCCCTCTTTGAGCGTCGTGTGGCGGCTCTTGGGCGCGCCGGCCTCCGCCGTGGCCTCGAACTCGTGCACGCTGAAGACCTCGGGCACGTCCAGCAGCTTCTCCGACGTCTGGCCCTCCGCCGACGGCATGACGGACACGAGCCACCGGTCGAGCGGCACGGGTTTCGCCTTTTTCGCGGCGTCGACCCACGTCGGCTGGAGACAGGCGCTCCGGAACTTGCCGCCCCACCCAAAGGTCCGCGCGAGGTCGTTGCCCGTGCCCAGCGGCATCATCGCCACGTAGAAGCGGTGCGCGTCGCCCAGGCTCCGCCGCTCCTTGACCAAATCGATCGCGGCCATGATCCACGTCATCGTCCCGTCTCCTCCGCATACCACAATACGTAAACCCGGCGGCTTCTGCGCCGCGGCGACGAGGTCGTCCGAGGCCAGGATGCGCTCGGGGTGCGGGTTCTCGCCGAGGTCGAAGACGTTCGACGCGCCGAGCACGGCGCCGAGCGCGTCGAGCACGCGCTTCCCCTGGCCGCCGCCGCTCCGGCTGTTCGAGAAGAGCACGACAGACGGGGGCTTCTTCGTCTCCTTCGGCGGCTCGCTCGTCTTCTTGTCCTCCTTGGACGCCGCCATCACAACTGTTCTACTCGACGCCGGCCGCCTTGGGCTTGATCGCCTGTGGCAATTTTTCCCCTGTTCAAGATCGCATCAAGCGTCGACATTGAACCAACTCACGACGCTTCGAACTCGAAAGGGAAGAGCAGCGAACAGGACGCCCGCCATCGAAAGGAAATCCGAAAAGAAGAGCACCGCGTGCTTGGAGCGCCGCCGGCGCGCCGACTCGGAGGTCCCCCGGGAGGCGCGCCACCGTGACGGACGACCCTTACGGAAAAGCCCGCCTAGCAGCCCGGCGCGACGCACTGGGCGTCGATGGGGTTGATGGCGGCGACGCGGCGGAAGATCTCGCCCATGCCCGAGTTGTAGCCGTGGGCCGCGCGGTCGCCGCACGACGGCGCAAAGTCCGCCTCGTCCTGGAAGCTATAGGCGCCGAGCTGGCGCACGCGGCCCGGCTGGGCGTCGCCCGCGTCGACGGCGTCCTCGGGCGCGTCGAAGAAGAGGCCGATGATGACGTGGCCGTGGTCGCTGAGCGTCGCGCCCTCGAGCGACCCGTCGGCGCCGCAGCGCACCTCCGCGGCGTCGCGGCGCAGCGTCGTCGAGCGGCCGTCGAAGGGCTGGACGAAGGGCTCGTCGAGCTTCTCCGGGTAGGCGCAGGGGTTGCCGATGACGGCGAAGTGGGCGACGCGCGTCTCCGTCTTTGTTGTTATGGTCTTCGTGTCCGCGCGGATGAAATCCTTCGTGTCGCAGACGCAGGGCCAGCAGCAGTAGTACATGAAGCCCGACCGCGTCGCGCCGCCGCCGCCGACGAGCGGCAGGCGCAGGCGGTAGCGCTTGTAGTCGCCGGGCTGCACGGGCGAGCCGGACACGGCGCAGAAGCCCCCGAAGAGCTCCTCGAGCTTTGGCCACGGCACGTGCGCCGCGCGGTCGAGGAGGAACGTCGCCCAGCGGTGGCTCGCGGCATTGCGGTTGCCGTGTTTGAAGATGTTCCCGTACTCGTTGCGCAGGTCGTAGAGCGTCAGGGCCTCCGCGTTGTCGCGCCACTTGTCGTAGGCGAGGGCCGTCGCCGCGGCGGCGAGGAGCAGCGACGCGGCGCGGCGCATGGTTTTGGTCGTGTCGCTGCTGTGACGAGCTGACGGCGGGTCGAGGCGACTGGTGTGCTGCTCTGATGAGCGGCGCGCGGCGGAGAGCGCGGGCGGTGTGACGAGCTGACGGCGGTCGGGTTTCGACAGCTCATTCACCTCTTCGAAGCGCAGATGAAGCGCTTGCGATTGTTGGTGTGATCGTGCGGGGCAACGTCGTCGTCGTCGCTCGACTTAACGTCGTGACTGGACCGGTTCGCGGAGACGACGAAAGTCGAGGATCTCGCGTGGCACGACGATGGACCTGTCGCTGGTCTCCCTCGCGGCGGCCTTGTGCGTCTTGCTGCTCGCGGCCGCGCGCCGCTACCGCGCGACGGCCGCGCCCGCAACGGAGCAAGCCAAGGCCATCGCGCTCGAACCTGAACGCTCACCGAAGCCGGCGGCGAAGGCGCCGGAGAGCCGGCTGGCGCTGACGCTGACGGGAACGACGGGGCAGCCCACGAAGGTCACGCCCAACGAGCCCTTCGACGTGCGCACGGCGTGGTTCGAGGGCCAGATGGTCGTCATGGTCAAGGGGCTGCCCATGCGGGCGGCCTTCGAGCCGCTCTTCGCGGGCAAGCAGCGCATCTTCGAGGTCCAGCTCCAGGGCAAATTCCCCCGGGGCCCGCCGCCGGGCGAGGTCTTCATCGGCGCGCGCCTCGTCGAGGACAACGCGCTCGAGACGCCCGTGAAGATGGTCCTCGGCTTCCTGAGTCGGACGCTCGCGGTCGCCGTGCTCCGGTTCCTCCGCGCGTTCGTGCCGGCGCTCCACTTCTCCTTCGGGAGCGACGCCGAGTCGGCCCACATCTCCGCGCCGCTCTTCGCGCCGGCGAAGGCGCGCGCGTGGACCGTGCGGCGGACGCCGCGGGGCGAGGCGCCGCCGCCGCTCGGCGCCGCGCTCGAGAAGAACTCGGAGAAGACGAAGACCGTCGTCGTCGACGGCGACAGCACCTACACCATCGCCTACTACACGCCGAATCTCGACCTCCCCCACTGGTCCCTCGTGAACCTGCCGGGCCTCAGCGGCCGCAACGTCGACCTCCGCTACTTCTGGCGCGACCACGCCTTCGCCATCGAGGTCTACGCGCTGAAGCGCGGCGCGACGACCCACGGGGAAGCGCAGAAGGACCACATCGCCGAGCTCGTCGTCTCGCCGGACGCGTCGCGCGCGGCCGCCGCCGCGCCCGTGTCCGTGGCCGCGCCGGCGTCGCGGCTGCCCGTGGAGGCGCCGAAGAAGCCGCGCGCGTCCGTGCGGGCCTACCGCCGCTTCGAGGTCGCCGTGTCGCGCTGGGCCAAGGCCGTCGGCCGGCTCAGCCGCGGGCGGTCCGCGCTCTCGCGCTCGCTCCGGGCCGGCTTCTCCCGGAGGAAGGCCGCGCGGCGATAATGGGGGCTGCTTTGTGTAGATCGTGGATGCGCGCAGGGCCATGTAGTTGCTGGTGCGGGTGCGAGTGAGGCCTGGTACGGTCACGAGGACGCCGAGGGCGACGCCGGCGCCGCGGCGGCGACCCCCGGCGAACGATAGGCCGCCCCACGTAAGATCGACGCCCGACGATCCCGTCTCGCTTCAGCTCAAGGTCGATCGTCGCATAGAAAAATGAAGCTCGCCCTCTCTGCTACGCTTATCGGCTCCGCCGCGGCCTTCGGCGGGTGCGTTCGCTCTCCGCGTGACCGCGGCACCTCCAAAAATCCGCCCGAGGCGGACTTCAAGCGATCGCGCGCCCCCCTCGCAGCTTCGGCGGCAAGAAGGCGCCCGCGAAGGCGGCCGGCGCGTCGCGGCGTCCCGCATGGTTCGCCGAAGACGTCGGGGCCGGGCGAGCTGCGCCGCGAGCGCTGCGGAGACGACGAGAGCCCCCGCGCGCGCGCGCCGCGGCCGGAGATAATCGGGGCCGCGCGGCCGTCGCGTCGAAACCGAGCCACTCACCTCCGCTCCCCTTTCGCAGCCCCCGTGTCCCGCGGCACGGGCCCGTCGATCCCGTCCATCGCGCTGCCGTGGACGGAGACGAACCTCGACGGGTCGCTCGTCGGCGACGTCGGCTTCGACCCGCTCGGCTTCTCCAAGTACGCGCCCGGCGCGTGGTGGCAGGGCGACGAGGGCGACGGGTCCCTCAAGATCTTCCGCGAGGCCGAGCTCATGCACGGCCGCATCGCCCAGCTCGCCTGCCTCGGCTGGATCTTCCCGGAGCTCTACCACTTCCCGGGCAAAGACGACGCGTTCGCGAAGATGAACCCCTACGAGGCCGTCGACGCCATCCCCTCCGCGGGCTGGCTCCAGATCCTCGCCTTCATGTCGTCCCTCGAGATCCTCCGCGTCAACCGCCTCAAGGACCCCGCCTACATCCCCGGCGACCTCGGCCTCGGCCAGGGCGAGGGCCGCTGGAACCCCTTCGGCTTCGACTACACGGCCGAGGAGTACTACGACAAGCAGCTCCAGGAGATCAAGCACTCGCGCCTCGCCATGCTCGGCATCGCGGGCCTCGCGGCCAAGTCCTCGGGCACGGACATCGGCGTCCTCCAGCAGCTCGGCGAGTCCTTCTCCAGGCCCGAGTTCGTCTCCAAGGCCGGCTTCTACTTCCCCGAGGGCGTGTAAAGCGGCCCGCCCGGACACCCCAGGACGGCCGGCCGGCGGCCGGCCGCCCAACCACCGACGACCGGCGCGCGGCGGGCGCCAACCACGACGACGGCCGCCTCCGACCCCCCCTCCCCCCCCCGGAGGCGTGCTTGCATAGTAACTGACCTTGCTATTCGGCGGGCGTCCGGGCCGGGGTCGCGGCGCGAGGCCTTGGGGGGGTGAGTTCAAGAAGTTCGTCGGACTCGGGGCCTCCGACGGAGGCCGACTCGGAGCCGGCGCCGGCGGCGGAATCCAGGACCGACGGAGGCTCCGGATGGGAAGTCGCGGCGCCGCGGCCGAAGTTCTCAAACGCAGTTCGGGCACCGCGGCGGTTGGTGGATGATTTCCTCCATGGGCATTCCCTGCTCCACGTGTAAAGTATACACGTGCGCCAAGTAGCAGTCTTCGAAGCACATCGTATTCACGCATCCGTCGTTCGTGCACGGCACCATGAACGGCTGATCTTGACCGGGCGTGTCTCCGAAGCTGCAACGCGAGCACGCCTTCTTCTGCCCGCACATGGAACACCACATGAAGAAGAACGCGTCCGGTCCCGAGGCCGAATTTTGATGCGTCGCGCACGCGCGACACGCGATCTTGTGGCACGCGTCGCACGCGGACATCGGCATCGCGCCGATCTGCATCGCCATGTCGGGCGATTCGCCGCCCGGCCCGACGCCCAACGCGTCGTCGCGGGCGTGCATTGCGCACGCCGAACAGAACGAGTCGCCGCAATGCATGCAGGTCTCATTGCCAAGGCCGTCAGGATTAGACCCGGGACACCCCGGGGTGGCGCACGTCTCCGCATCATTCGACGTATTCCCCGTAAGACCACCCATTCGCGCGAGCGCAACCCCCAACCGGCCGGCCGAGAGCGCACGGGCAGTCCCGTGGACACAGATGGCGGACCGGGGCCTCCTGAGCCAAGACGGCTCGCCGGCGCACCGCTGGGCGGCTGAAGCTCATCACACGGTGGGATCAGCTCAAGGGGATATAAATCTAGTAGACCAAGGGCGCGCGCGCGTCTTTGAGGTGCACGGGGCCCACCGTTTCGACGACGAGGTCTGGGAGGTCCACGTCGGCGATCGCCTCCTTGAACCCGTCGAAGGCGGCCATCTCGAAGGCGACAAAGGCCCTGGTAATAGTCAGCTTCTCCTCCCGCGAGAGCTGGTCCGTGACGGAGTGCATCTGGTTCCAGAGCGTCTGCTGCTCGTCGATGATCGTCAACCGTTGCTCGAAGAACGCCTTCGACGCCGCCATGCCGCCGCCCGCAGATTTCGAGGAGGTCATTGCCAAGGCGTCGATGAGGTCCTCGAAGAAGCGGTCCCCGAAGTCCGCCGCGCCCTGGACCGGCTCGTCATCTTTCAGCAGTCGATCGACGACGTCGGCCGCCGCCGTCACGTCCTTGAGCATCGACTTCGCGTCGGCGAGGGCGGCTGCTGTGAGGTCCCGCAGGCAGCCGATGCGCGCGGCGATGCGCTGCTTGAGGTCCTCGCGCGACGCCTACGATGCAGTCGATGAGATCATGGCCCCGCGACGACGCGGCGCCGGGAAAACACGTCGAGCGTGAGCGCGACGGCGGCCGGGTTCTTCGCCTTCTTCCACGAGGTGAGCTGCCTCGAGACCTGCGTGCGCACGAGCTCGATCTCCGTGATGAACTTGTCGAGCTTCTCGTCGACGCCCTCCCTCGGTAGGTTCGAGCTGCGCCAGCCCACGTAGTTCTCGTCGAAGAACTTCCAGAGGCGGCGCTTCTGGGACGCGTCGATCGGCCGCCTGTGGCCCGGCACGTCGGCGTCGGCCGCGGGCGGCGCGTCCGCTGTGGGGGGGCCCTCTACGCCGGGCGCGCCCTCCTGGCCCTCCATTGCGTCCGGGCAGCCCGCGGCACCTTCCCCCGCGATCTCATGGTTGCAGTACGAGGACCTCGCGCGGCAATATCTCGTTGAGCTGCCACCCCATACTATTTATTACCCCTTGATCAGCTGCCCATCGATGGTGGCCAGCCGATAATGGGAAAGAAGAAGCACCACAAGAAGAAGGAGGCGAAGAAGGCGGCCGCCCCGGCGCCGGCGCCGGCGCCCGGGGCCGACGGCGCGGAGGCGTCGGGCATGAGCTCCTACCTGAGCTCCATGGCCCAGCAGCTCTGGGGCCCCGCCGCCGAGGCCGCCCCCCCGGCGGCGCGCGTGCTCGACGAGGTGCCCGAGTCGTGGATCGCCGCGGGCCGCCAGCGGCGCCTCAGCGCGGCGCTGGCGCCCGCGGCGGCGCGGCTCGAGCGGGCCATCGTCGCGGACCGCGTGTCCGCGCACCTCGACTCCCGGCCCGACTTCGACGACGTCGCGCGCCTCGGCGTGCACCACCACGCCCTCGGCGACTGCCACGTCTTCCACCGGCGCAAGTCGGCGCTCCAGCGAGCCATCGTGGGCGACGCGCTCAACGCGAAATTGGAGCGGCGCGACGAGCACCGCGAGGCCGCGCGGCGCGTCAGTACCCGCGACGTCCACGCGCACGGCGCCGTCGCGCCGCGGCTCCACGGCGCCGCGCGGCGGTTGAGCCGCTCCCTCGCGGCGGACGCCTTGAACGCCGCCTTCTGCGCGCGGGGCCCGCGGGCGCCGCCGCCGCGGCGCCGGTCCGCGCGGCTCGAGCCCGCGGCCGCGGCGCTGGAGAAACAGCTCAAGGCCGACGTC